AAGATCTGTCATGTACAGCGACAAATTCCCTATCATGAATACAATCATTATGCATATCTAAATTGTACCAATAAACTTAATAAAGAATGAAATTAAAGAACAAGTTTCTTATTGACATGGGCACACAGCAGCACGACAAAAGCACAATGGATTAGCTGCCCGAAGGGTGCCATGCTAGATACTAGAACCACAGAATTTCAATGGCAGTAGGGCCTGATAGTTACCCTTCTGCATATTCCTTCAATTTCTAGCCAATTAGATGTACAAAAGCCAGAGCTGTGTCCAGGGGAGGCACCGACTAAAATGCAGATGATGGACTCCCAGAATCCTGTCCCCCCACAGCCTGTCATCGCAGGTGGCACTGCACTCTGGTCTTCCTAGCCCTGGCTCAGTCACCTCGTGCTGGTGTCTAACTGTGTATTTAACTGTCGTGAGCACAGCACACACCCACCGTGAGGGCAGAGCTCTGTGGCACACCCTCGGAGACCTCGCCCAGATGGAGACCAGGCTCCAGGTCAGCACTCGAGTCCGATTCAACCAGCCCTGAAACAAATCGCCACCAGCCTGTTTGCCTTCACCTGGATTGCAAGGATGGGGGAAGATGGAAGCACTTTTCCTGGAGTCTGCACACTTTGGCGTTTCCACAGCAGGAGTTTTCAATAAATAACCTCTCATGGATGGATGCAGCTTGCTCTAGTGTAACTATGCTCACTGTTTCCTTCTGTTCTCCATCTAATCACCACTCTGATTCACACAGGCACATTTAGTCATTGTAATAATTTAGCATTAACTACATGTCAGGCCCAGTTTATATACCTGTTAGTGGAATTTATTTTCTGCCCATCTTGTCAATCGCTAGCATTCTAGCGTGTATGTTCCAGGTAGTTATTCCAAGACTCCAGCAGGGATTCATGTGTCTCAGCACATGTGTATTTTGGGGCATACTTAACATTGCCAAGAATCTTAAAAACATTTCTAGGAGAATGTCACTTTCCCCCACACACATTGGAAAGGAAGGGTAATATTTATGAAAATACTCTCATGGGACAGATGGATGGCACATCTGTTTCCAAAGTGAGTTCCAGTCATAGCCCTATGGATTGGTTTGTTATAGATAAGACCCTAAGTTTAATAAGCACTGAAAATAACTTTGAGGCAAAATCTATGATTTTCTTACTTAGATGTCTCAAGAAAATGAAACAGCTATTTTCAAGACAGAAAAAAAGTAGAGTATATTTAATTTCTTTACCAAAAAATCCTACATGTGAGATCTGCTAGCCTCTCTACTTATGTATTTCCTTCTTACATTACATTGCATTTTAGCCCAAGTGATTTTAGGTGAGAGATACATGAAATTTTAGGTTCTTCTTAGATTGAGAATTCTGGATTCTGTATATAATATGTCACTCTAAAACTGAAAATTTTAACTTAGATTATAAGTTGAGCAGTAGATTTTTAAAATTTGACTTTTATTTGCCAATATACAGTATATTATACAAAGTGGTAAGGTCTTTTAGGTCAAATTTTGTTGTGCAGTTGTTATGATTTAACTATATAGTTTTAATAATTTTCATAGGGGATTTTAGTGAAGATCTTAATAAGCAGCCAAAGTTGGTTACTGTTTAATGTAACATACTCAGCAAACAGCATAATATGAGAAAAGTATTCTCTCTTAAGAGTTCATAAAAGTATAATAACCTCAGTTTCCACTATCACAGCAATGTACTGAGTAGTACCTATTTCTTGAAGGAAAGCTTTAGCAAGATTTGTAAATAATTATCATTGAAAAAACAGAATAAACTTTATTTGGATTTTGAGGATTATATCACATTACTTTTTATATTTTACATCTAGCTAAATATAATTTTATTTAAAGTGCAAGAATTTTTAAGTTAACTTTTTGCTACAATGGAGAGAGGCTCATTATTCTTTCAATGTATATATTTAAACAGACATATTTAACGTTATAAGTTAAAAATAACTTGCATGGTGTTATGAGGTATAAAAGGTGCTTAGAAACTATAAAATGCATTTCCTGAAAAATTTTAAATATTTTGTTAATATTTCTTTTTACATGGTATTCAGAAGTTGAAGTAATTAAGCTACTTGGAGCTATAGAATCTCAAAGTTGATTTTCAGGTTAAACACCGTAATTTTAATAAGGAAATATTCTTGGAGATATTAGTTTATTTCTCAAAACTGTAGCATAGTCTTTTTATCCTATCCAGGGGTATTATGCTCTCCATATATCCTTAGGCAAGATATATGTAAAAGTTGAGAGAGCTTGGCTAATCCTAACCTAGCTGGAAATTTTGTGTTCATTGAATTATTAGACATACTAGATATCATATGAAGTCAAAATGTAACATATTAGTAATGGCTATTCTTTAAATAGAAGGGCATTTTCTCCTGCCATATGAATTTGGGAGTCAATCAACATCCGCTAATCTTTTATTGTTAAGAGCTGGTACAGACTTGCTTATGAAGTTGTTCTTGGAAGTCATCATAATTTATATTTTATAATCAATATTTTTATATTTTAACTCTCAAATTCACTCTATATTATGAAAAACATATTTGGTAACAGCCTATGATCAAATGGTTCACCTCAGGTAGCACTTATGTCTGTGAGCATATGAAAAAATGTAAAAAAGTGATCATTTGTAATAACTTTCAGATCACAGCAGAATAATATTTTAATTTTAGATAGATACAGTATTACTACATTTCAATTAAAAATAAAATAAACTCAGTACCTCTACAAAAACGAACAAAGTAAGAGTTTGCTATATTGTGAAATGTTAAAGTCTGGTGCAAATGAACACTGCTGCCTGGATGGTGAGGGCCACATCGTGAGTGACAAGGTGCGGACCCCTGGCACGGCTGTCACTCTGGTTACCTTGCCGCAGAGGCAGTCTGAGAGAAAGGCGAATGGTCGGTCCCAGCTTCTACACGTCCTCTTTTTCTGAAATGTTCTGGAAGAGTAACACTTCAAGTTTGACTGGGCATTTCACAGAGTGATGAAATGGAAAGGGGCTGTTACGCCTCACGATTACCACACGTGGAGTGGCAGAGTACAATGGAAATAGTTCCTTTTGGTTTCGTTCCCTCCGGGACCCTAAATTCAAAACTAAAAGAGCTCAGACGAAACTTTCATCTTTCCCTAAGAAAACATGACAGGACTATAAAGAAAAATAAGCTATAATCTATATTGTCTAGATTTATTTCAACTTGTTCAGAAGTCACCAGGACAAAGTGTTAATGACAGATGTCCAATGTAAGCAGAAAGAAATAAAAGACAGAGAACTAAGTAGGTGATATAAAGACAAAAATTGTTCTGCAGTATGTAGAACAGGCTGTGAATTATTTAATGAGATGATACTCAAAATAGTTATAAGGAATTATCCCAATTAGAGCGCCCTTCAGTATTTAGATGATATTAGAAAACAAGCTTTGAATTTATAAATGGAAATCTTCTTATAAGAGAAACACATTTTCAAAGTTCCTCTTTTTAAATGTTAAATGATAGCATTGGTGTTTGTGCACATCTTAATCAGAAACAGAGAAAATTATGTGTATAAATTATGTATATAATACAATTATATATATGAATTATGTACATAATGAAACAGAATAATTTATGTAATGAAATTACGTATATAAATTATGTATATGATACAATTATGTACATAAAGTATGTATATAAAGTATGTATACAAGTATATATTAAAAGACTATGCTTACTTTTTTCAAAGTATTACTACAAAAAAATATAACTCTTATGTAGCCTCATCTGTCACAATCAGGGCAAAGTGCAGTATTAAAGTTGAATCTATTTGCTATTTTATACTTTATAACCTCATTGAGACTAGTAAGTGGATGTGCATAATCAAGTAGTTTGAAGATTCTTGAGGCATTTTGAAGGTCAAATCCATGGGATGCCGCTGGTTCTGCATACATCACAAAATAAATCATAAATGGGGCAACTGACAGGGACTGACACTTAGCTCTCTTGGCATGACCTCTCCAGCACATGCCAGACACATATCAGCTAGACGGAAGAGGGACTCACATTCTTCTCCAACCTCACAAATTTCTGATTTTTTAGATTTTTTTTTTTTCTTTTTGAGACAGGGTCTCACTATGCAGTTCAGGCTGGCCTTGAGCTCACTTTGTAGCCCAGGCTGGTCTCAAACTTGCAATGATCTTCCTGCCTCAGATTCCCGAGTGCTGGGATTACAAGCATGACCCACCATGCCCGCTGATTTTTCAGACTTTTCACACTCGCTGAATTAAGAAAATGCAGTTGAAAAAGATCTTTGAAACATAATTGTGATGATATGTCAACACTCCATTTTAAAAAAGATTTTCTTACTTAATATGAGTTACAAATATGCTTTTTTCGTGTTACTCACTGAGATGCAGGATAGCACTAGTACAATTCCCACCCCTTAATCAGATACACATGACGGACGATTCAGGGAAAGAATGGAGAAAGAAGGGTGGAGTGAGAGAGAGAGAGAGGGAGGGAGAGGGAGGGAGGTGGATGGCGAGGAGAGGCAGTAAGGAATCATAGCCTTGTAAGGAAAGGTACCATTCCGGGGATACAGGAAGCTTTTGGCAGACCATTGATTCTTGCTTGATCAAAGTCAAAGATATCTAGAGTCACAGAAATGAAATCAATTGGCCTATCATTTAAAGTAAAATTTGTACAATTGCAGGTGGAATAATTGAAAATACTTTGCAAAAGGCAATTTTAAAAAGTCCCGTGTAAGGAAGGAACTATCCAACCTGAGACTGGTTTTTGCTGTGGTACTTGGACAGTGGTTTACAGAAGAGGGACAATAGCAACAAAAAAGACAGATGATAAAAGAATAAACTTCTAAGACAAAGGCACTTTTGGCAGGTAGGAGTAGAATATCAAATGACGCAACATTAAAATGTCACACCCAGGCCTTCCCTCTCCCCTGGGCCACTGTGCACCCAGGCGCGGGCAGTACCTTCCGCTTGGCCTTCAGCTGCTCCTGGTACTTGTCGCAGGTGTCTCCTGGGATCTCCCCTCCCCAGAGCGTGATTCCAACTATGGTGTAGGTGATGCCCATGATGAGCAAAGGAAAGCAGTACACCAGGACGATGACGATCATGTGGTACCTGCAAACAATAAAGAAAACAGTGTGGAGGAATCTAGAGTTTGAGTTAGTTCAGCTTTAAATTATAACAAAATGCCAGAGATTATTTGGCTTCATTTCTATGTGCTCAGTTTACAAATCTACTAAAATATTATGCTGCTGTCACCTATGAGTATGCTTCAAATGCTGTTAGTTAATCCTTGGAGATCTTCACTTTGTACACAAAAACCAAAACTCAGATATATAATCTGTACAGGTTTCTTTTGCCCAGAATGGAGAATAAATGGTTTTCCTCCACTTGGTACTCTGCTCAGTAACTGCTGAGCTAAATTACTTAAATACCACATCAGAAGAAAGAGGTGGGGGAGAATAATTCCTAACTCACAGTTTCTTTGTTGTGAGACTATTCTATATATCATGGCAACTTCGGACATATTTGAAATAAATTGTTTTTCATCCAAATGAAAAAAATGCAACTAGGTACCAAAATTTTTTTTATTTAAAAAATCAACTAGAGACATTTTCATGCATTTTCCAAGGTCATATTGTGCTTGATGGCATTGTTTACTTATTAAATAAGCCAAAATCTAGTAGTCACATCAAAGATACGATGCTGTCATTATCAAATAGCACTAGCACAATCAAAATTATAAGATTGCAGTACAGAAAGAGGAGCCTAATTCATACTATAACAACCAAACAAAATTTTATAAACTTTTGTATGGCACCCATTATCTTAACAAGGTTTTAAATTAATTAAGGACATTATTATAATAGTCTTATTAACACCTGTGGTTTTTGTAAAATGAATCTTGACTCTCCTCTCCTATTTCCTAGTAGCTGACTAAATATTGATTTAAGGTCATTGGGGAATATTTTAGCTGACAAACAAGAACATTAAAAAGCATTTAAGATTTATTAAAATAATAGAGGACAGCACTTAGCTGAATAACTGCTTCCTGATTTTCTGCAATAAATGCTTTCTGATAATTGTTTTCTTCAGAAACCTAAACTCTTAAAAGACTGGAATTAGCTAAAATTATTACTTAATAGATGACCACTGGGTGAACAGTTTATTTTTATTTTTTATGGCATATCCTTTGATTTATATTTATTGAAGTATTTTTGATATATTTTAACTTTTATCAACACAAAATTTACACTTATTTTAACATATATATAATGTATTTATACCAATGCCCTTTTAAGAACTCCCATTCATTTTCAGTTCACCATTTTAAAGGGAAAAGAAATAGGCAATGAAAATAGTAAGATACACATTTTACTGAAAAAATTTTAAGGGGTAAAACTAGAATTATACTCAGTTACACACGTATGCTCCTCTTCTCTGTTGGTTCCCTTACAGTGGGTCTACAGTACAAAGTTCTAGATTCCATCATGTAGGATTCCTATTTATTTTCCAACCTAGCATTTAGGTTCCTTAATGCTGAAACAAATCAACACAAATCAGATCAAACCAAAACTAAACTGAAAGACCCAGCAGGCCTTCGGGGACTCCAGCAGCTTCCTAAAGGAGCAGTCACCACTGTGCTTCTGTTCCCCCGCGGCTCATTTCTCATCAGTATCCGCTTCCCTCTGCACCTTGCTCTCATCTAGAGAACTCGGGGCTACTCCATATGGAGATCACATTTACAACTAAAAGCCTGTGTTGTACAAACTTACCTACCCCATTGTAGTGTGCTGTATTTTTACATGTTTATTATCCCAAGTAATACATGGACCCCATCTTCTATTTTACACCATCTTCTATTTCCCTAAGTCTTTAATAAGCTAAACTGAAAATCATGAGAGAGATTTAACTTACGTGAAATGTTGCCTTGAACCTTCTGGCCACTGCACGTAGCAAAGAGTACGGCCTGGCATGACTTTGATTTTGGAATACAGACACTGAGGAAATGCAAGTAGAAATGCCAGAATCCAGATGCTTCCAATGACGATCCGGGTGGCCGTGGCAGACAGCCTGGGCTTCAGGGGGTCAATAATGGCCATGTATCTGTATGAAAACAAACCAGACCAGGGTTTTGTTCCTTTGTTACTGGAGATTACAGTGAGGTTTCAAAGGAGTTTCGGTAAATAGAGGCAGATCTCCTGGTGAGCACTGATGAGGATTCTGCTTGGATACTGGCAACACAGAACGGAAACCAAAGTGTAGCTTTAAAAATCTAGCAGGTCCAGATTCACGTCCTGTTATGACACTTCTTGAACCTTTTTGAACCACAGCTCATTATTTTAAGATAGTAATAGGAATATCCCCTTCCTTAGGAGTACAGTGAAGATCAACATAAATAGTGTAAAGATAATGTACTGATTATATGGTACCATGCATAGCACATCATCAGAGACCTTTATATTGATGTCTGCTGACTTGAATAGGAAAGCTCAAGGCCAGTTCCGTGCCTGGAACCTTCATTTATTCTCTGTTCAACTTTTTACAAGGAAAGGTTGGAGATGTAATATGGATAAATACATGATTTAAAAAGATAAAAGACTTAAGTAAATGTTTAACATATCCATTTTTCATCAGAAACAGGCAAATTCAGGATCGACATAAGGAGGAATAAATCAAGTTTGTCTGAGGCTGTATTTTCTGATTATCCACAAAAGTGAATTCACACTGCATCATGCAAATCTTTATGACATCCATGAATGTAGCTATGTTTAGATGGCTTTTATGGGAATATACATTTGTGGCTCTGAAAAACACGTATGTGACAATTGCAGTGCAACTGTCAGGGACAATGAGAATTTTCTGGATATGATGAGAAGGGTAAAGTTATATTCCCATGTTAAACAGAGTGACACTGTATCTCAGATAAATAACCCACTTTTAAATTGGATGCAGAAGGATTAACTGCCAGATGTTAGCTCATGGTTAGAGAAAATTGTTTCCTTTTCATTATAGAACATTTTGTGCTTTTTAAACATATTTTTATTTATCCAAAATTTTCAAAGATTATACTTCATCAAAGAATGAATGCTACTTAAGCTCATAAGATTTAGAAAATTTTTAAAAAAATTTATTTTAAAAAGGTTTATAAGATTAAACATAACAAAACAGATCATAAGGAAACAATTTTAAGAAACACAGATTTCAAAGCAAGTCCACTGGAGATCTTCACTCTCTATCTTATTTTCTCTAGTTTTCTTCCAAATAGTTGTCCCATCTTCACACACATTGAATACATATTGAACATTATAGAGCTAATCAAATCATTACAGGATGATGAAGGCTTTTTAGGTCTTCAAGGCTTGACATTGGGGAAGACACTAATGACTACCATAATGTCTCTCATTCTCTTCATAGTAGGTGTCCTTATCTTTACGTATGCTGAAATTGAACATAAGAGACTAGACTAATATCACTCTGAACAGTGAATAATAGTATTGCTAGATTTTATATCATAATGCTACAGAATGAGCACTGGGTTTCTTAGTATCTCTTCTTCTTTAGAGTATCTGTTCGTTACATCGTGCATTATATACTCCCTTCCTATAAACTGTTTAGAAATTCTCCCCATGTGTGGATCTCTACCTGTATATCTATCCTTTCTGTATTATAGGGAAAAACAGATCATAACAAGACAACAAAACAAATTCCTAGAAAACACGAAATGAAAAAGACATATAAGACCACAATATTAGGTGATCTACAGTAGTTACTGTGCTTTCTCTTGTTATTTTCAATAGAATTTATATAATTGAACATAACATTACATAACTATTTTAATAAAAACATAACTTTGGAGACATTGGAAGATTTCGAAAGCAGTTAATAATCAAACTGGAATGGGTATCTTATTACATCTTGTCATTTCAGAGTAGTTGCCTCTACTATTAGACTTGATACTATCAAGCATACCAAATTTGAATAAAATCAGTCAAGGCAGAATAGCGGTCTAACAAACCAGCTTCAAATAAGATCAGTCATAGTAAGACAATGTAAGTAATGCAGGGCTTCAGTTTAAGTTAATACGAAATTAAGGATAGTTACTGTGGTATAGCCTACTATTTTGGGGATAGCTGTCTGTGCCCTCAAATCTAGTATGAGGAGACAGCCCTAAACAAAATAAAATCAAACTAAACAGAGCAATAAGACTACTGTGGCTTTTAAATCCTGATACACTATTAACAATGTCCTCTGCCTTCCTTTTTTAGGCAGTTCCTAACCTTTTCCCTTCTCAGGATGCTTTATACATTTTGGATCCCACTAATTCCTTTAGTTTTTAGATTAGGGGGTCAAGCTGTTATCTGTCTGAGTGTTGCTGAGCCTTTTTACCACTGAGCTTAATCTTGAGCTGTACTCCTTTACTAACTAAAGCCACAAGGTTTTCCTTCCTGCCAGCTGTGTAGTTCTACACTGCACAAAAGTGTCATAGCTTTCCAACCTATCTGCGATGCTGGGCGAGTTGTCCCTATTTCTCTCTGGTTTCCTGTCACATATAGCATTGTTTTCTCATCTTTGACTTTCAGTTTATTAACCCTCTTTCAGGTTGAGTATATTTCCTATTCAGAACATCTCGATGGATCCTGCCTCCTAATCTACTCTGCCTGTGTTCCTTTTTTGTTAGTATATCAAGGCTATCTATACTAAAGATTTTAGCCTACCTTCTCTGCCTCATCTCTGCTATTGTATTTTTCTGCTATTATTTGTCCACTTTTCTCCTTCATCCCACTGTCTGCCCTGTTCCTTGAGGCCTCTCTGCCACTGTTGCTTGAATTCTGGTATTTTTTTCTCTCTCTCTCTCTCTAGAATGTCCTTCAGTATTTTTTGTAGGGTTGGATTGGTGGCCATGAACTCCCACAGTTCCTCCTTGTCTTGGAAACATCTTATTTCACCATTAATTTTGCAAGAGAGTTTTTCAGGGTACATCAATCTGGGTTGGAGGTTATTTTCTTTCAGGGATTGGAGTATTTCCCCCCAGCTCTTCTCGATTTGAGAGTTTGTGCTGATAAGTCTGTTGTTATTTTGATGATTTTTCCTTTGTAGGTGATCTGCTTCTTTTCTCTGGCCACTTTTAATATTCTATTCTTGTATATTTCTGAGATCTTGATTATTATATGTCTGGGTGTAGATCTGTTTTGGTTGGAGTTCTGCATGCTTCATTTATCTGGATATGGTTTCTTTTTCCTATGCTTGGGAAATTTTCCTTAATTATTTCAGTGAATAGTCTTTGTAATTCATTTGTGGTTACTTCTGCTTCTTCACTCACTTTTTTATTAAGTTATAGGTCCTCTTGTTGTCTTCTAGCCTTTGAATTGTTTCTTCTTGGTTCCTTGTTATTTTTAAGAGATCTTTTTTTTCCACGAACACACATTATAACCTCTCTTCAATTTTCCAAAGGCTAACTTTAGTTTCTACCAAGGTATTTTGCCAGCTGTCAAAGGAGTTTTTAGTTTCCTGGTAATCTCTTTACATCTGTTTTATGTATTCTAGATTTTGTTTATATTCTTCACCAAAGGTTTCTCTTCCTTTTCTGGGTTCCTCCATTCTTCCGTCTGTGTCTTCTTGAGAGGGGCTTAGCATTTCATTAATTAATCATTTTATATCTTACCTCACTTGGATTAGAATTTCAGTTTTAAGTTCGTCTATGAGATCACAAAGGTATTTCTTTATGTCCGCTGCTGTTGTGGCTAATATTGTGTGATTGCTGCACTGGTTCTCTTCTGTATTTACCTCTCCTGGGTAAATACAAAAATATTTTCCAGCCGCTGGAGTTTTTTTCTTTTTTCTATCTCTTGTCGTGTTTCTGGTTTCTTTCACACAAGTGTGTAGTGGAGGTCTCTGGCCCTCTCCATATTGCCTACAGTTTTTCTGAAACATGCTTACTGGGGTTTTGCTGTCCTCTCCAATTTGCTGTTATCTGAAGTGCATGCAGGGACAATGTGGGCTGGCCCCTCTCCTCTGAGTCAGTCAACTGGCAAGTGCCTTCAGCAACTTGGACTGTGCTGTTGTGGACATCACAGTGTTGGGACAGTTTTGTCCCTGGCTATTGGGTCCCAACCAGGGTCATGACTCAGTCCAAGCTGATTCCACCAGTCTCCTCAGGGCCAAGGGTGGCTGACTGATGCCACCATGGTGTCGGGCTCTGCCCCACTCCAAGATGTCTTCCAACCAATGACACCTGTGGCAGGACCCAATTTCCAGCACTCACTGTGAACTATTATAGTTCTCTACCTTGGCTCCATGCCATACTGCACTGCGTCCTCCCACCAAAAGCCCAGGACTCACCAATTCCCATTATCCACGGCTGTGTCTTCAGCGCGACCTTGAATTGCCCGACTCTGTGGCACTCCCAGCACTGTGTGGCCCGGTCTCAGTGGGCATGTTGGGCTCCAGCCCTCCACTTGCATTTTTCCTTCCTCTTCCTGTTTTTCTTTTTCCTTCAGTTTCCTCCTGGATTTGTGATAGTCTCTCTCCACTCATTTGGCCCTCTCCATGTCGTCAAATTCCAGCATCTGAGCTGTTTTTTCTGGAGAGGCTCTCCACCTACCTACCTATCAAGCCACCATCTTCTCTAATCTCAATCTCGCAACATTTTAACCTTAAGAATAAATATTTTATATTAAGGATAATTCATCAATTTTTTATTGTCTTTTGTTTATGTAACTACTAGGCAGAACTGGATCTTACTATACTTATTGAAAATTATTAACTATATTTAATATTAACTTTAGTTCCATTTACCTAATGGAATATTCTTAGTTCATTATATGCATTAGCTAATAGACAAATATAAATCTTATATGTAAGAAAATACTATTTGTCCTTTTGTAATTGGTTTATTTCATTTAGCTACAGGGCTTTCCATATATATGAGGTTTGAAAAATAATCAAACTCATAGAAGTAGCAAATAGATGGTGGCTGCCCAGGATGAAAGGAAGAAAAATGGTGAATTTTGGCTTAACGGGTATAGAGTTTCAGTTGTGCAAGACAAAAAAGGTTGGAGAGACCATCCGTTCTCCATTAGCCTCCACCACCTGACATTCTGCCA